CCAAATTTCGTGTAGTTGATTTTTCTGTCAAATTACTAACTCGCTTCTGATTGTGCATTATTAATAGGCTTACTTTTCGAAATAACGGATATATAAGAGGGTTAGAGTTTAGTGCGACGACGTACTGTTACTTAGAAATTTTTGTAAAAAAATTTTGAAAGCATTTTCTTCCATGTTATACGGGGAGTAGTCATATAAATGATCTGATTTAATCCGTTTTGGATGAGATTCACCCTGGGTGAAAACGTGTCAACATATGGGTAGATGAAGAGACATACTTAACTCATTTCACAAATTAGTTCTGAATTAGTTGGTAGTTAACCCATCGGCCACGTATGTGGATACGTAGATTGTTTTACATTTACGTTGCTATCATTAATAAGAAGAAGAAAATTTTGATATTAAATCATTCTTTCAACAAAGGAAATATCAGTCCTACGGCTTGATTCACTAATAACGGTACTTGCGGTGGACAGATGGTCGGGATAATAGGAATGAAAAAGAAAACGGGTCAAAAAGAAGTCACCCAGAAGGGGTTAATAAAAGATGAATCTACCTTAAGTCTTACTTAACATACCAATTACGCCAATTATTCGCAACACTTCCTCGAATATCTGAAAGAATATATCTGCGAAGACAACATCCATTTCTACAAAACAATTTCCTAATCGTGACCTTCAGTACTGTTTCAGAAATAAGCATAGCATAATTGAGCAATGACATCGCGTGATTTCGTATATCAGAGGAGACATTGAATATAAAAATTACTGAGGTGGTGTATTCGTGCATACAGTAAAGGCCATCGATAAAGTCTGGCATGACAGGCTATTTTTCAAACTCAATATCTATTTACCAACTCCTATGTATTTGCCGCTCAAATCAAGTCATTTCGGATTTTCCGATCGTTGACAATATTTTAACTGCGACGTATGCAGATGACACAGCAACTCTATTCTAACATACTTAATTCATGAGTATTTCAAACGTGTTAGGAAATTATCTTAACACAACTTCGCTTTGACTGAATAAATGCTAAAAAATCGACGCATATTACGTCCGTGTTAAAGACGTGATTTTGTCCTTCAGGTTTTTTAAATGGCAATGAAATCCCTATCAAAAATTGCTTAAAATACCTTGGCTTACACTTTGACCAAAGATTAATATGGAAGAATCATATTAAATCTAAGGGCTGTGTCAATCTAGAAGAATCGGGAATCCTTCATGTTCTGGACATGAGAATACAAAACGATATTCTTCGGACAGGACGTTCACAAGTACAATTTCTTTTCTTCCTTATAGGGGATATCCCCTCAGCGGGCTCATAAAAAAAAAAAAAAAACGACAGAAACTTGATTTAAAAATCAAAAGAATCTTTTTGACTAATTCATCCAGAATCTCAGCTCAAGCTAAGAATTTGTATTGTACACAAGAGTATCCTTTAATTCTATATCCATACAGCGCACAATTGTGGAGAACAGCCGGTAATTCTAATAATGATTTACTTTAAAAACATCAATCTAAGAATATCGGTCTTATTGTTAACGTCCCGTGGTTCGTTTGCAACGTTTGATTCTTTTCACAATGACCTTGATGTGATTTGCGTCAAAACTCCAATGCAACACCTTTGTTCAAAATGTCTTCTTAAATTCCGTTGGCAATATCCTCTCTAGATGAATCCAATGAGATCAGAGAATTGGAAAGCTATCATACACTTTTTTAGTTTGTATACTTCGTTTTGACTTATTTAAAAACTCCATCGTGAATACTCAAATCGCACTCTCATGAGCTATGTGCCGTTATCGTAAACATTCTTAAGTAGGCTTTGAAAGTAGATATTATCCCTTTATGTTGGAAGACTAGCTTGCGCATTTTACTTTACAAATATGAAAACAGAAATCCTCGAATCGAAAAACTACAGAGGCATTGCCAAGCTAAAAGTGTCTTATCTAAACTGTTTGAACAAATTTTCACTCAGTCGATAGCTTTCGCTATGGTATCAAAGGAATATTAAGTGTTGCGAACTTGCGTAGACTTCACTCGCCATGCTTGCAAGATTTTTTTAGTGGCTCCCGCACGGACATCGCATACACTGATTTTAGTTGATTAAATCCACCCATATCTTTATGTACGGTGATGATGTTAAACTGTGTTCTCTCTTTGCCTTCGAATCGCACGCGTTTCAGCTTCAAACGGTTTCAAACTGAATCATCTATCTAAGAAAATGCAAGAAGTATGCTTTTTCAAGGGGGAATTCACTCACTGTTGAGTATTTCATCGGTTCATAAAAATTTGAAATCGTCGAGCAAAGACTACGTATTATTCTGCACATCGAGGTCTCTTCGAGTAAAGATAGTTGGGTGCTGGGCTTCATTAAACGGTGGTCCAAAGAGTTTAACGATCATTGCATTACACAAACGCTATACATGAGCTTAGCTCATACGTGAGGGTATGCCTCGGTTGCCTGACCTCCTTCCTACAGATGTTATACAGATTCAATAGAATTCGTTCAAAAGAAATTCCTGCTCATTGCCTTTAGGGTTTTGGTTTGGAATCCGCCTGTCATTTTGCCTCCTTACGAAAATAGATTGCTTCTGCTAGCCTTCTCGCCACCTGAGAAACGACGATTTATTCTTGGTGTTTTTTTTTTTAGTTAAGTTAATAAACGGTACTATCGCTTCGCCGACATAACTTGGTGAAATAAACTTCAATGTCCCGAATCGTTTCCCAAGGAACTTTGTGTTTCATAAAGGTTAGTGAATGTAAATATAATTACGAGCTTTTCAAACCATTCAGAGTCCTTTGCAAAAATTTTAATGATATGTATCAGTTAATCTCAATATCGGATACTTCAAATTCTATCAAATCAATTCTCCTTAATGTGCGCGATTTGGCTACGTCGTGCTTAAATTAACTTGTAATCTTAACATTTTAACACGATTCGAAGATTAACTGAATTTGCTTACTAGCAATGTAAAAAGAAACATTTACGCAGTTATGGCCACATGAAACAAACAAATAAAGTAGAATAGAATAATAATTTCATGAGTAAGGAAAATAATATTTGTCTTTCATTCAGCGTGCACACCGTTTTACAAAATCTAGAACAGTTCTTTTATTATAATTTCCTTTATGTGTGTGAAAGTTTTTCTTGACATTAGACAATTAAACATTAAGTAAAGCAGATTTTAAGCTAAAAATATATTTCTGTAAGAAAAAGAAAATACCATCGGTTATTCACTACTTTCCGACGTCCTTACGTATGTATCCTCCTCTTGTTAAATTTTATAGTTGGCATGACCCTGATGGAAAGGAAAATATGTGAGCAAAAAACATTGATAAAAAACATTGTAGGCAAACATAAACGCAGGCATGAATATTTGGTGTCTCGATGAGTGTACCTAAAGCGTAGATTCGAAAATGTCAAAATGTGGATTTTCTATAGAGGTCAGTACTTCTTTTTTTCACGCAAACATATAAAGAACCTCTACTTTATTTAACAATAATTATTGAATGTAACTTATCGCCAAACTCAGATTTCAGGAAAAAAAAAACAATTAATTATATCTAATTTTAAAAGAATGCAATCAGGTGGTTATGTTAATGCTATTCTGCATTTATTCGTATCTAATGTATTTCTGTTAAATTAAAAAATATTAATTTTCTGTTAAAAAGAGAATAGAATAACAATTAATATGAGTGCCTGAGAAATTGAGAGAGAATCGAGAGAATTCGTTTTATATTGTACTATTGAAATTTTAATGAGTAATTTGTGTACAAGCGAGCACACACGCATACGTGCGTATACTTAACTTTATTACCCTTTCTCCAATCAGTAACTCGAAAAAACGACCCATCGTCTTACCGAGAGATATTGTTTGGTATTGAGAGTTTTGCATTTGTTTTTAAATTCAGTTATGCTCGCGAGTATATTCGTATTTAAAACGATTTAAATCTGAATGCCATAAGCAAAACATATTAATGCTCATCGTTTTGACCAAATATTCTGATTTTCTGAGAGGGATTTCTTTGATTCTTGGCGGCATTAAGAGATTGCTTGCATTGTTATTGTACAATTTTGCGTGCTCTGAGAAGATTGGGTTGACAGCATTACTATATTGCTGGTATTGTTATTGTAAAGTTTTGCTTTGCTCTGAGAGAGCTGAAAGGAGTGTAAAGGTGAGACGAAAATAGAGGCAGAGAGAGAGAGAGAGAGAGAGAGAGAGAGCATTATATTTTAACAATTGCTTAAATGAATATAAAAAATTAACATTTTCTAGAATTTTTCACTCGCGTGTCAAAGAAATATCTTCCATAGCAAAGAAATTTTCACAATAACAAAGTGTTAGGGGGATACATTAGAACTAAGAAATCAAAGAATTTGCTCTCAGAGCAAGAAATTTCGCAATAACAAAATGTTAGGGGGATACAATACTGCTAAGTAATCAAAGAAGTCGCCTCTCTCTGTAAACATCTGATGAACCTGCAGCTGGCGTTATTTGTTATTTATTTTCATTCGCTTTTTTCTTCTCTTCAAAAATGTTAGAATTTTGGATGGGTAAAGATATGTGAATTTCTTGTCGCGAGAGATTGTGCAAAATAATATACGTAAATATATATAGAATATTGAGAAGAAAACTTAGCACACAAAAATAAAATGTTATACGAGTTGATATGAAATTTTAATATCGCTTTGTATCGCTATGTTTATATAAATTCGTAAGCAAATAATAAACATATGTAAACGTACATGTGGGATAACTAATTTAAAGAAAACAAGTTTTATATTTTCCAATGCATAAATAAAACCGGGAAAGAAAGGTAAAAGAAAAAATTTATGATTAATATAAACAAAATAATGTAAGCGCTTTATAGAAATCATGTGTACAAATATGTCAACCCGTTTGCACAGTTGCTAGTAGTGTGGAAGTTTATTTTATTTCTTCAAAAGAAAAAAAAAAAATGAAAATAGAAAAAACGAGGGAAAATATTGAATTTGTTTTACACAAAAAAAAACTAAATGTTTAAAAAAATCGCAAAATCGAAAAAATTTTATAAAATTTAAAAATTTCAAAAGTAATTAGTTGCAGCTGTGTGTATTCCTTGTGTCTTGATTTTGTTTTTGTTAATTGTTTAAGTACCTTATTGCAAGTGATAAAAGAATGCAATTCAAGCTTCTGTTTTGTACTTTGAAAATCTGTGCGTATGTACACAAGTACGTATATTAAAAAAATTATTTAATATGAAAACCAACTCCCTTTTGTGATTTCTTCGTTTTGCTCACAACGTTTTTTTCTTCGTTGTTGCTACAAATTTTTTTTATACATATTTTACAAATAATGTAGTTGCTGTTGCTGCAATTTTTTTTTTTTTTTTGCATCTTCGTTAAACTCAACAGTAACTCTAACATGTTCTCTTTATACATCGGCAACGTAGCAGAGGCTACGTTATTACAGCTAACAACCGCTCTGTAAAATAACAACCAGAACAAACATTACAGATTTGAAGTCAAATGTTTATTGAAAACGAGACTGCATTGAGAGAGAAAACGATTTACAGAATAGCAGTGTGAGTAAAGGCTATTAAAAAAAAAAAATAAATAAAAAATAAATAAATAAAAAAGCAGTGAGAAAGCAGTGCAAAAACAACACTTATTAAGAAGAGTTTAAAAGACCATATGTTTTTTGCGTTCTCACCACTAAATTGTACTCGACCCCACATTTTTCATTTTGTGTGCGCGATATATTAAATTTAACTTGATTTTAAACTTCATTAATTCTTAATTAAAGATATTCACACGAAAAGCACTAGTGTTGTGCGGTGCGAAAAACGAAGGGAACGTTTTCTCTACAATAATATCGTTTTATTTCTTAAAGTGTGTGTGTGTGCATTTGTTTACTAATTTTCGGGATGAGCGAGAGATTTAACTAACTAACGCTAGTTAAACTCCTTGTTAAGAGCAATATATGAACTTTTTAAATCGGCATTTCTTCTTTTAAATAACGGTTGCGTGCCAAAATGCATTTAATGCTTTTCTTCAGGAATTATTGTGAGCAAACGGTTACATCGGCTACATACCTATAAAGTAAGTTTTAATGATTTTTTTTCTCAACTAAGCCATTTAAGTTTATTAATGCGTTATTTGCGAAAACAATTTGAAGTATGCTCGAACGAAAAATGTATCGACAGGATCGTAGTAAGCATACGCTAATGTTTTTTAAATGTAACTTTGCAGTCGCCTAACGGCGAATTTCGCTTGTTGAAAATATAAAATATGTTATGAATGTAATATTTTCCTTCTTTTTATTTTTACTTTTGAATAAACAAATGTGCAGTAGATTTATCGAAAATTTATGAGAACGATACGTTTCAGTCAGTATCTGTGGAAGTGCAAGTAAGTCTTAATACTGCTCTATAACTAGAAAATTAGTAATTCCTTAGAGGATGTATGAAAGTGGCTAATGGATTAGAGTTTATTGTGTCTGTCCATATACCTACTAGTTAGAATTGTGATTACGACCTCATAATACTATTTACGAGTAGTAGATTTAGTCTTAAATGGACTCTACCCACGATGATCATTTCAAGTGCACAATCCTCGTTGGGGACTTTTATTTGAAATTTTTCCGATGTAGGTTTGGGTATACCTTTATGTTAAAGCGGTAATGTTTTAAGAAGAGTTTTTAAAGTCTAAGAACTATTTGTTGTGTAATTCCAGCGTCTTATCCTTAGCTTGCATCTCTTCTTTGCAACTTAGCTTTATAAATGCATGCGTAGACATTTGACGTTATTACCGACCGTTACGGATTTTGATATTTTGCTGCATACTCTGATTGACGGCCCAGTAATTATTTTAATTTAACGAGACTTTAATGGATTACGGGCTATAAATTAATTTTCGTTAACCTAATGTTCGGAGATATCTTGAGTATAATATGTCTTTGATTTCGGCTACAGATTCATTCATAGAGGACGCAATAATTTTCTGAATGTTGTCGGCAACTTTTCATTTCATAATTGTGATAGGCAGAAAGACCGCCGGCAGGTTCTCTGATATAAAATGCTTGCCCGATAAAAACTATAGATTGGGCAGGATATGGAATGGCCGTCGGCATAAGACAAGCCCGTCCTTTCGTTACTATAAGTCTCTGTGGGATAGCAATTGAAACCGTCCGCATTACTTCCGGACTAGGAAGTTTACCAATGACACATGCGTCCACGCGTTCGCAGTCTCGGATCTTTTTGATCTTTTGCTTAACATATATATATATAGTTACTTTATTACACAACAGGGCACAATAGGGGACAAAAGATACGATCTCAGATCGCAGACATTTTATTTTACACCAATTGGCGAAGCGTTCCATTCGCGAATTTGTGTTGCAGATGTGAGCTCATAACTGAATGCATTTTTAAACGTAAACCGATTTGAAATCTATTGTTATCCTAAATGTTTCATTTCTACAATCGCACTCGCAAACCTGTAGCAAACTCGGGTTGTTTTTTACACGTGTAATATAAGGGATCGACAATGGAAGCGGTTGTGGCAAATGCTACATGCAGCCATTAACAACTACGCGCAACATTTTGCTGTTACGATATTCAGGTCAGTTCTATTAGCATTTACTTCTAGGTCGAAGCTTTGATTTTCAAGGTCAATTCGAATTAAAATATGACGGATAATTGGTAGAATTTCTTCTCAGTGCGGCCAAGAGCCATTTTAGGGCCACTCTTTTAAAAAAAGGTGAAAAGCTGCAAATAAAAGAAATGAAATTTATGGAAGATAATGCAAATTAATTTACCTCAAATATTCCTCTAGAGTCCTTGTCCTTGCCCGAGTGTCCTTACTTTCTCTCTGCTTTGTATATTATCAACAAATTATGGTCAATTCTGCTCCAGTACACGGAGATATTGCGATTTGATTGTCGTATGTTTACTGTGCATTCGATGACGCTTTCCATCCCCCGACACCCCCCAAGTTTATATACTGGACAAATTGAAATTTATCGCGCTGACATAACAAAAAGAAAACTATTCCTATAACAATTGGCAGCAACAACAACAATTACGAAAAAAAAAAAAAATGGCTTAACATGTCAAGAGCATTTTCTACATTTTTATGTTCTAAACATCGCCGAAAGAGAGAGGGATAAAACGAAAAAAGTCAAGAAAGTAAAAAATAACTAAACATATATATGCATGTACAGAAGTACGTTCATGTTTTTTGCAGATTTCGTTTATAGTTTCTATTAGATCTGTATTATTATTATTATTATATTGTTGTTGGTTTTGTTGTTGCCGCCGCCCTTGTTATTATTATTATTATTATTATTATTGTTGTTGTTATTACTGTTTCTGTACATAAATTGTTGTTGTTGTTGTTATTATATAGAATGACTGTTTATAGACCGTCTGTTGGTATGCGGCAATTTGCGTTTGTTTTTTTGTTGTTGTTTCTTTTTTCTGTTGTTGTATCTTTCTTTTTTCTTTTACTCTCTGCTTTAAGTTTATTGTCTGGTGCTTGCCAACCATTGCAAACGTCATTCATACGGCCAACATTGCACTATATTGAGCTGCTTAGAACGTTTGGTGTGACAATAGGTGGGTGTTATGTTTGGCTAGTAATGTCTATAATAGCAGAATACCGCAGGTACCTAGTGCATGCATGGGCACACTTGTCTAAGCGCATATTTATGCGTTCACTCCAGCTTGTGCATATTATCAGACAAAAATGGGCTTTTTCACTATAATCTGCTTCTTGGATCAACAAAACAGATTACCATGGCCATAAGATAATATAATAGTTGGCCCGACAACATATTATGTAATATATTAGAAAAATAATTAAATTCCATTGCTAGGCTTTGATATTGCAAGATGCAAGAAAGTTCACCGTTAATTTCTCAGATGACGTATATTTATCAAATTGCAAGGTAATCATTTCACGCCATTGTCAATGTGATTGCTGTAATGCAGCCTCACTCGTCTTCAATTTTCATTAGACTTTGGTAAGTTTTAAAAATCCACTTTCGAGTTTTTTTTTTATTCCTAAACAGCGTATACTCTCTTAGCCTGCATATAAATCCACCCTGACGACGTTTTTTTACTGGCTTTTTGTCATATATTCATTATATAACAACAATGTAAAGAAATGTTCCGGGAGAGCAGATAGATCCACAATATCCATGCAAAAAATGGAGAAATAAAACCTCGCTTTGCTAAAGCCAAGAACTTTTGCATTTTCTCAATTTTTAATGGTGAGGCCTTTTTGTATTTTGATCCTTTAGGCATAATCTTAACATGTCTTTCCTGTCTTCGCGAAAAGAGAGAAATTTAATATCGTTTCCACACTTCTAAGCCATATATATATATATATATATGTATGGGTATAGTAAAGCTACCATTAAAAACTAAGAATAAAGTCTTTCATGAACGAAAACATTGCCATTATCGTTGATATTCGAATGGCAAGAACTAAGGTTGACGGTTGGAGAGACATTTCAAGGTCACAGCAATTACTTACTGCCCCGACTCTGACGCCCAATGAATGATCGCAGCTATGAATATTCGACTCTATCATTAGAAGGGCTTAAGTGCTATGTAGTGCATTTTAGTGTAAAGCAGTCGTAGTTTTCTTTTTATTTTCTATTTTTTTTTTTTTTTTTTTTTCTTATTTTGTTTTGTGACATCTACTTGGCAAACAACGAAAAGAATACTGAGAGCATTTAGTCAAGTGTTTGAGTGTTTATTTTTTTGCTAGTATCTGTATTCTACCAGTAGTTCTTGATGTGATGTGCATAAGAATGTTTAACTCTAGTGAGAAAACACTATAAACTGCAAGTAGCAATAACAAGTGTACCAAGAGCAGCAAAAAGTACTGGTAGCTCTAACAGTAACGACAATAATAAAAATACTAAAAATGGGTGTCGACTTTACAACAACAGCAACAGCAACAGCAGCAGCAAAAAACAACAACAAATATAATGAATAACCAGACCAAGATTACCTACTTTTATCCCTTTTTCATGTCTGTCTGGTCGATAGTTTTCTTTTCAAGTAAAACTATTGTGTAGTAAAAAACAAGTAAACTATTCCCCGAGCATGCAGTAACAACAGCACGTAGTTAGTTTGTTGGAAATTGTAATGAAAATTGCACATCTAACACTGCCAAAGTGTTACTGGATTTTTCAATAGCAGTGGGACACTTGGGTATGCTAATGCTAATGCTAATGCTAATGCTAATGCTGTTTGCCGTTGCTGTTATTGTTGTTCTTGTTATAAAATTGTACCAAATGTTTATGTTTATATGTTTGTTTTTCTTTTTTTCATGCATCTATTGTTGTTGTTCTTCTTGTTGTTGTAACGTCTGGTGAAATTTAAACTACATTATTTAAACATAGTAATGATTGTAATAATGTTATCAATACTTATATTTAAATATTGTTTCCCAGCTCCTAACATTCAATACGCGTTGTTCTTGTTGTCGCTGCCGTTAACGATAATAACGTTTGCTAGAAAAGCGCTTGTTCTGTTGTTACAAATTGTTGAATGAAAATTTCTAAAACAGAAAAATTTGAGTGGGCGGTGTCGCGGCATGGACAATCAACCTTCGTACTTGCAACAAGTATTCCATGACTTCGTTTAAGCTCCAATTAACCGCCGCTAAGTCTCTAAGTATACTTCATGGGTTTGGAGAAGAGCGGCAGCGCATCTTTGCAAAAAATTTTTAACGAGAATTGAACGCAATTAAAAGGTGGACTTGCGTAATCCTTAACCTTAGGACACTTGATTAATGATTGTGCGGATTAGCTGTGCTCTCTAACTACGCTAAAGGCTTCACGAAATTTGGCCGCCGTTAACCGATTGGCCGATTAGTGTGAGAGCTATCTTGGCGATTGATGTTTTCGCAACGAAATTTCGCAAGCACTTGCCATTGGCACAGTCTCGCCACTGCGCCAAAGCACGTGTTTCAGTGTTTAAATGTTAACAGTTTTAGTTTTTATTTAATCTACGGCCATCCGCATGTTTAACAGTAGTTCGGACGATATACGCTCGAATTTCAGTGCGAAAATATATATCGTATTT